ATGAGGGTAGATTCTGCTCTCCATATTGTACCATGAAGACATTGAAGCCTGGGAAGGCAAAGTATGGGGTGACCTTATAATGTATTTCACAAAACAGGACACTGTTGAATATGAAAGAGGTGCTAGTGCCAGTTACTCCCAAACAACAGGACAAACTGGGACTGTGCCCAACCAACAAGCCTGGGCATATGGTCATCCTATGTAAGTAACTTGCCCAAGTTTCCACTGGCAGAACTGCATCCCAAACTCCAGGCTTTCTGACTCAGCTGTCCTCATGCCCTGCCTGTCCTGGAGTGTCCAACTCCCATTAGGTAACTCCCATCAGGACCACAAGAGCCCCTTTGTTCTGTCCCTGCCATGGCCCACTGCAGTGCATCCTGCAGGTGTCATTATTCACTGCCCATGGCCCACGCCCTGGTCTTATGCTCCTGCTTGCCAGCTTGTTGATACAAGGCACCTTCCTTTCTGCTGTGGTAGAAAGGCATGGACTTTGGAGTCAGACAGATGTGTCTTTGATTTGGCTTTGGGAACATTATTCCATTTATTTCTCTGACCTCCTTGGACTCACCTGTAAAAGTACAATTCTGCCTGCTTGCTAGGTGTTTGTGAGCTGTGAGTGAATACATGTGAAATATCCAGAACACTGTTGGCTCATATATGATGGCTATGAAATAAAAGCTGTTGTTGCTGTCATGATTTAATCATGTCCAGGTGTAGCAGTGTACATAGAAGAAGTGGAGAGATGAAGAGATGGCGAGTGTCCCCCCTCAGTGGGGAACCTCAGGATCATCACAGTGACATCAAAGAAGACTGTCCAGGGAGGAATGAACCTAGAGGCAGGCTGGTTATCACAGCAAAGGGTAGAGAAGTGATGGAGGCCATTTGCATGTTGTAGTGGCTGGAGGAATGCAGAGGAAAGATGATTCAGGAGGTAGAATCAGTAGTGCTTGATGTAAGGAGAGCAGTGGAAAGAGATACCAGAGATCGAAGAATATGTTCTAGGTTTCTGGTTTTAACCGTCATACTTGAACAGAAGAGCAGCCTGGTTTGCAATTGGAAGTGCCCCTAGGGAACACTGCAGTGCGTTGGTGAGCTCAGGAGAGAAGTCAGCCCAGAGAGCCCTTCTGGGTCGCAGCTGGTTTGGGTGTGGGTCGCAGGAACAGGGTGCAGAGGCACAAGTGAGGAGGCTGTCACGCTCCAGCCCTGGTCTGCAGGAGGTGGGGCTGGACCCCTAGGACAGGGGATGCAGCCCCACAGATCGTTGGCCAGGGAGGAGGAAGCAAGGCTGTGAGTGGGCGCTGCCCACGGGACCTTGGTTCTCTGCCTGTGGTGAGCAGGGATGGCAGGGACAGAGGACAGAGGCTGGAACATTTGGCGGAAGACCTCCTGATTATGGGGAAGGGTCCAATGGAGGGCTTAGCCCTGTACCCCTTTTTTCTTGTCCTGCACTTATACTGTGTGTGTGTGTGTGTGTGCACACCTGTGTGTCTACATACCTTTATCTGACAGACATCCAGCTAAAACAATACAAAGGGATAATCTCATTATTTGGGGCCCAGGAGAACTCCTCAGTAAATCATCTTAAATACACAGCCCAACATTTTCTGTGTTAGTGGATCTGGATGTAAATAATCAATTATTTTATACTGAAGCCAGTATGTGAATAGGTGGATTGGTTCTAAAATTTTATTATTCTATGTATTTATAATTCAATTTGTAAAATATAGATTATTTCAAAGACAAAACTTTTATTTCCTTAGAAATAACCCATTGGGCTTCTTGCTGTTTGGCTCCCCTTCTAGGCAGTTCATGGTTGACTGTAGTGTCTGTCACCAAGAGAGACACATCTTGGTAAAACCCGTCTGGTGTTATGCCCATCCTTTTCCTTTCTTTAAAACATTGTCGTAGGTATTTTCTTTTGTATGCTTGCACTAAAGTGTTAAAAACATGAGGCATAAAAAGCATTCCTGTCACTTTTTTGATAAGTTTAATGTATTTTTTGCTTAACAAGTACTGATGTAATACCTGTGTGCTGGCCCTGCCTCAAGCCCTTCACAAATACTGGCCCGTCCACCTACCTGTGAGGCAGGGCCTGTTGTTTCCATCTCTTCTTCACAGAGGAGGAGATGGGGGTGCAGAGAAGGAGGCCAAGTGTCTCACCAAGGGCCCAGAGCTAGTTATGGCCTTGGCCGAGTCATACCTGCAGTTGGGGCTCCAGCATATTCCTAATGGCTTGTCTCCGGCATGTCATGTGGCCATTATTTATTGGCAAAGATTGGAAGATTCTCTATGTGTCACATCACACATACAAACATACTGATTTTTCAGAATCATGAGACAACTAAAGTAATGTAATGTTATATAATATTAAAATTGAGCATAAGCAGCAAGTCCTTATTCAAAATACTTAGAATAGCACTCTTCCATGTGTATGTGTCTGATGCTACAGTGGCATCACAGAGAGTTTTAAGCTGTTGACGTCACAGGACACACATCGATGCCTGTCAGGAGGTGCTGGTGCCTGGCCGGCTTTCCCTTCCCTCTGCCACGCAGGATGGTTCAAAGCAGAAACCAGACCAGGAAAGCAGTCCAGGTCAGGAGCTTTTCTACTGGAGGAATTCCAGTTATTTCAGCTTGTTAGTGATGTGGATTTTAGATCAAGGGAAGTTTACATTCTATGAGTTGTGCAGTCTTGACATTCAATTAATGCCCAAATGAGATTTTAGAGTGATGAGACACCCTGAAACAAAAGATCTTTGTAACTTAACACTTAGGATTTTTATTCATTTAGAAATTGTTAAACAGTTTGAAAGCTAAATTGGCCTCTGCCTAGCAAATTGAGGGCTTTGGCACACAAGCCCTCAGTGCTGGAAGGCTTTGCTATCCTTTCCCCTCCCTCTCCTGGAGATTGCCAGGCAAGGACTGGCCCCTCCGGGAGGCTGGTTTTGATCTGTGGGGACTGTGTGCTGTGGGCAGCTCCTGCCTGTTAGTTCACATAGGTGGTTTCTTAGATTATGAAGAGATGTACTGTGCTCACTTGAGTGCATCTCTCATCTCTCCTTCTTGACTCTGGTGCTTATAGTTTCTCAGGGAAACCACTTATTTTTGTGGTTTCCATCACATTTTAATCCAGAAGAAATTTGTGTTAGAGGATATAGTTGAAACCTCATAAGAAATGCAAGTGAATTATTACTGTCCTTTTGCTAAAATGTTGCGATTATTCCCAAAGTTATCCTTTATCTCTAAAAATTCGTTAACACATCAACTAATTTTTGAGGTTGTTTTGGGGTTAAACATGTTATCTGTTGAATTCTTGTTTGTAGTAGATTTTGCTTTGATGGGGAAAATGTATGATATTTTTAAAGCTTGCCATCCATATTAATAGCTCTTAATAGGTTCTGAGATTTTAGTGTTTCTTGGGTGACTTAAATATCATTGCTACAAGAGCTTAAAAATAATTGTTCTTAATGCCTTTGGGTTGTCTTAATAAGAATGTTGTGATTCATTTGATAGATGTGAAAATGCTGTGTTAAAATTGACATTAAAGTTTTCTTTGTGCTATTTCCCTAAACAGGCACAGAACAATATGAGCTAAAGAAGGGAGGCCCAAGAACAAGCCTTGTTGTTTGAATTTCCTGACTAGTTATTTCCTTCTGACATATATGCATGCACTCTATATAAACCAGTGCTTGGGAGGGTTATGACGCTTTGGGGGCACAGTGTCCTCTAGTGGTGATTTAAATAACTGGACACTCCACATAGTGATTATCCTTTATTATTTCGTTTGAGGGGAGATTCTGTTTATAATGTCATTTTTGTATTTCTCAGTCTGTTAAATATTTCTGTAACTCTACTACAGAGGAAACCTTACTAAGTAAGTAATTTTTAAAGTATCAAACAGGGCATTTGTTCCCTGGCTTCAAGGTTTCCTTCACCATCATCTGCTGTGGTTACTAAGGTTCTGTTGCAGCAGGGCAGGTGCTGCATGCAACCTTAGCATCCCTCAGGGCTTCTTTATTATATATTGGTTGCTGAAAGTGACACTTAGACTATCAACACAGTACCAGGCAAGTGGAAATTTGTTTGGGTGATTTTATTTTTTTCATAACTTTCTTTTGAGCAAGAACTCTCCAGATGGATGTCTGCTAATCATGTAACCCACATGGTTGCCCAAAGTCTACTTAGTACTCAGTTAGATGTCATCAGTGTACAATTTAATCTAATACTTTCTTTACCACTACCTTTCAGAAGTAATTCTCAGTTCTCAAGTTTTTTATAGCTCAAAATTTATACAGTTGTGAAAGAACCAGCCATACAACAGAACAGCCACATTACCTGAAGGTCACTCATTGGTTGTATTTTCAAAAGTATCAGATAATCTTTCCCTGCCAAACATATTTTGCCCTTAAAAAGGAATACTTCCTCCCTCCTTTCCTCCCTCCATGCCTCCTTCTCTCTCTCCCTCCCTTCCTTCCTTTTTTTTATAACTTTACCTCTTGAAATTCAAGCAGATTAGTCGGGAGATTCTAAATTTGTATTGGCTGCATTATCCATGGCCCCACATTAACTGTACCCCCAAAATAAAGGAAATGTACAGTGGTCTCTTACCTTGATCTTGGTGCATAAAACAAGGATGCTGCCTTAATTAGGGGCTTTCATGGCATAATGAGCAGTATAGTTCTTGTTTCACACAGGCCCTGAGGCAGGTGATTTTTGTGGACCCTGCAACACATTCTCTCGTGCATATGTGAAGAATGTGCTGTACTCTTGGTGAAGCAGATTTGAGACTAAGAGTGGTGGTGGTGACTTTTACATGTGGAAGAACAAGAAATTTCATTGTATGAAGAAAGTATTTTGTATTGTTCTTGCTGGTAGCATTAACATTTCTTGCTAAGAAATTTTTCTTCTGTGGTCTGATCTCAAGTGTAAGAGGATGATGTTCCTTGGAAGAATTTTGAGCCCTGTTTAATTGTCCTTGTCTTGTTGCCATTGTTTTCTAGCATCCTCCAGGACAAATAGCAAGGAAATACAGCTCCTGCTCCACTATTTTCCTAGATGACAGCACAGTCAGTCAACCAAACCTCAAGTATACAATTAAATGGTGGGTATACAGATTTTTGCTTATCTGAATGCTTTTTCTGTTGTTGAACCTGACATAACTGACTGGTTGTGGAGTCTGGGAGGGGTAAGATCGGGCAGCAGGAGGCTATTGCTGTTCAGGAAATCTTTTTAAAAAGTGATTTTGTTACTTAAAATGTATTCAAAATATTTACGCACATTACTGTTTACATAAAAGTAGTTTTATGTAAAAATATCAAAATTATTTAAATGTAGATTAAAGCATATTTTTTATTCCTGTGCATACTTTTTGACTTCCCACTTTTTAGTAACGCCATCCTGGCCCAAGTCTGCTAATCTTTTACCTTTGGAATAGAGAAGGGCCGTGTGATCCCAGTTGAAGACTTGTGGCCACAGTAGAAAGCGGGCCTGAGGGAGTGGAAGAGTCTGTGCCCGCAGTCGGGAAGCTGGGTTCTGAACTTGGCTCTCTCACTAACGGGGAGGGCTTGGGTAAGACCCTTCTCTGGGGCCTTATTTTCAAGAGTAGTTTAAGGGAGAAGGGGTGTCTTTAGATAAAATCCCTTCCCCTTGGGCTTTGGTTTCCTTATTTTAAAAGGGGAAGGAAGAGGGAAGCAACACTGGCTTTTCCTATAATGTCTCCACCAGCATTTGACAATTAACAGACTTTGACAGAGAACACAGGATGCCTGGCTTGCTGGGGTCTCCAGTCATCTGCTCAAGTGTGAACAATTGGGCTGTTTTATCTCTTGACTTATTTAAGAAAGTACATATTGAACAACAAATCCAAGTTGGCACATATGTGTTTACATTTCTAAATAAGAAGCATTCTCTGCCAGTGGGGCCAGGATTCCAGGCATAGGAATCCAAGCCTGAAGGTGACTGCATGTGACAGTGATCACAGCCTCAGTCTGGCAGTGGGGACTTTGACATCTTCTATGGACAGTGTCCACTCTAGGAGGAGGTGGAAGATTGGCCCACTTGGTGGGAAGTTGCCATCTGTCCTGTAGGGCTGCATGTTTCTGAGATCTGAATGGAAATGTAGCTTCTTCCTTCATTATTTTGCATCTAAGGATGTGGTAAAACCCAGTGGGCAAAAACCCCAACGGGCAGTGATTACAACTGGGAAAAGGTATGTTATCTCATAGCTCCACAGTGTGTGAACTTGGCTGAGCCACTTCCTACCCCTAGCCTGAAGTTTATGGCAGGAGGTAGGCAGAGTAGTACCTTCTGGAAGTACTTTCTAGTTAGCAGCTGTGGAGAAGAGTGGAAAGCCCTGAAGACCTATGTGCCATGTGGCTGTTGGCATCTGCATTAGCTCTCTAAGGAGCCCAGAAGGAAAGCTGCTAACTTCCCTTTAATCCTGGGATCCCCTTCATGGGACAGAGGCCAAGTGCACACCTTCACATCCAGAGCCAGTGGAAGCTCTTGGGGTTTACAAATGGATCTGACCCAGTTGCTTGGTGCTTCCCCTTTGGGTGACTTAAAATGGCCACTGGTTGTGACACAGACACTTAGGAGCCTGGTGGGAAAACTGGGTGATGATGTGATATTTCAGTGTCAAGTCTGGGAGATGCAAGCACCCAGCCCAAATGTGTGTCTGGGTCAGTCAGTGGTTCCAGCCCTGGCTGTACCTGAGAGTCACCTGGGAACTTAAAACACCCCGGTGTTTGAGGTCCCACCCTGCAGATTCCATATCTGGATTGTTAACTCCTGTGCCCCTGCTCCCCACCCCTCAGGAGATTCTAATAGGCAGCCTAGGCTGGACCCCTGGTGTAAGTGGGCAGCAAGTTCCCTTGAAACTTTGAAACAAACTGCTTTAAGCTACTACATGGAGGGAAAAGCAACTGAGAGCTGCATCAGTTAAGATAGCTCACAGCTGAGATGGAACATCCAGTGTGGGTACCACAGCTTCCTTGATTCAAAAGACCTCTCTCTGCACCACCTGAATTTGGTATTCTCCACTCAGTAGTTCAGCTGTTTTTAAAGAAGTGCTCTCTTTTAAAAAATGTGCATGTTGGACCTGGACCCTGATTGAAGTAGTACCATCAGAATTGTTCTCCATAAATGCCCACATCTCACAAAGGGCTTGCTAATAAGCTAAAGAGTGAAAAACTTTTTGACATGTTAGCAGACCTGGTTGAGCTTCAGCACAGGGCAAGGGGAAGGGGCACTTGAGTGTCCGAAAGGAGGAAGAAGGACCCCAAATCTGAATGCCCCTCTGTTCTAAAATTTTGCCTAACCTTTATCCTACACATGAGAGGAAGGTGTTTTCCATTTTTTGCTCTCTCTGCCTTCCCTAAATTCAAGCCCTCTTGGTCCCCTCCCCCCAGACATTAAAAACAAATACTAAACCCATTAATATAGTAGCTCCACTTCATCGTGGGCATAGTGAGCCCTGAACTCACTTCCTGAAAATTCAGTGTGATCTTGTTCTTTGAGAAAATGCTCTGAGTTCTAAACAACTTATTTCGAAGCTGGTTTTTAAACATAAACCCCTCCGAAAATTGGGGATTGCCAAAATGAACAGACATGTTTCCAAATTCTAGTTGGGGAATAGGTGGAGGGTTGAGTCAGCCTAGGCTGGACCCCTGGTGTAAGTGGGCAGCAAGTTCCCTTGAAACTTTGAAACAAACTGCTTTAAGCTACTACATGGAGGGAAAAGCAACTGAGAGCTGCATCAGTTAAGATAGCTCACAGCTGAGATGGAACATCCAGTGTGGGTACCACAGCTTCCTTGATTCAAAAGACCTCTCTCTGCACCACCTGAATTTGGTATTCTCCACTCAGTAGTTCAGCTGTTTTTAAAGAAGTGCTCTCTTTTAAAAAATGTGCATGTTGGACCTGGACCCTGATTGAAGTAGTACCATCAGAATTGTTCTCCATAAATGCCCACATCTCACAAAGGGCTTGCTAATAAGCTAAAGAGTGAAAAACTTTTTGACATGTTAGCAGACCTGGTTGAGCTTCAGCACAGGGCAAGGGGAAGGGGCACTTGAGTGTCCGAAAGGAGGAAGAAGGACCCCAAATCTGAATGCCCCTCTGTTCTAAAATTTTGCCTAACCTTTATCCTACACATGAGAGGAAGGTGTTTTCCATTTTTTGCTCTCTCTGCCTTCCCTAAATTCAAGCCCTCTTGGTCCCCTCCCCCCAGACATTAAAAACAAATACTAAACCCATTAATATAGTAGCTCCACTTCATCGTGGGCATAGTGAGCCCTGAACTCACTTCCTGAAAATTCAGTGTGATCTTGTTCTTTGAGAAAATGCTCTGAGTTCTAAACAACTTATTTCGAAGCTGGTTTTTAAACATAAACCCCTCCGAAAATTGGGGATTGCCAAAATGAACAGACATGTTTCCAAATTCTAGTTGGGGAATAGGTGGAGGGTTGAGTCCTGTTCTAATAGTGAGAGAAAAGTTTAAGTATAAAAAGTTAGGGCAGGTACTCTGTGCTCATGCTTTCCGTAGGCATTACTTCTTTTTTGAGAACTTGATTGTCCCAGCTTTCCCCAAATCCCATCAGCTGTGGTATGAATTCAGAGTTTGCCACCTTCCCCTTCACCCCCCACAACACTCCCAAATCCTGGAATGAGCATAGGAATGATGAAAAAGGGTGGAGGGCAGTGAGGAGCCCCATTCACACAGCTGGCTGAATCAGCTGTGGCCCTTGGCCTCTGAGGTCTGAGAGCAGCTCCCACCTGCCCCATCTCCCTGGTGCTAGAACCCATCACCTCTTGATCTTCAGAAGTCTTGGAGGTTACAGGCTTTCCTGACTTAGCTCTAGGTAAGAAGTAAGACAAGTGCGGGCCAGAAGTCACAACTGTTTTCTTGGCCAAGAAAATAGCATTGCTTCCTTCTCAGCTATGTGGCAAAGCAGCTGAGCAAACCCTTTGGTCCAAATGTGCTTTTGGTTTGGCTCCAGCCCATCCTTGGTGAGATGTCATCATTTTTTGAGGACGTGGCAGACCTGGAGTGAAGCCTGAAGGCCCGGATTGACTGACTTGGCACTTGACTGCCCTTTGCCCCCAGCAGACACTTCTTTCAGGATAAACAGTTAAACCGTCCTGTGAAGCCATGCTGTGCATGAATCCTCAGCTTGGTTTTCTCTCTTTCTGGGATGTAACCTTGAGTGAAAATTGCCTTACGGAGTGGCCCTGTTTTTCATGGAAGTCTAAGGCCATGACAGTGTTCAATTTGGCTTTGGGCCCAGGAGATACAGGATAGTGACCGTAGGACCTTGAAGATTTTTCACTCAATCTGCAGAAGCCGGAAGACCTTCTGAGATGAAATTGTTCATAGGGGAATAACAGTAACAGTAACTTTAGTTTTAGTGCTTTATATCTGAAGTAATGCTTTTATATGTTCCATATATTAACAATCCTGAAATGTGGCTTGAATGGTCCTAATTTCATAGACGAGGCAATGAAGGCTCTGAGAGGTGTATGAACACAAATAAAATGATGAACCCTGGGTGGTCTGACTTCCAGTCCAGCAGTAGTTTTTCTACACCAGGCTCCCTCACTGGGTAAGCAGGAACATTTTTATAATCAATCAAAGTAATTAAACTAACTGCTATACCCAAACCCCATTATGGGAAATCCTATTTAAATCTGACATTAGATTAGAGAGCAGTCATCACAGCAAGACTGTTAAATGAATAAAGAGGTAATTTCTTCTTTTTTTTCAGAGGCAACATGGTAGAATGAAAGGGCAGCACAAAACCATCACACAAGTCAAATCCTGGTTGCCTACTGTCTGAATCTGAATTTGGTCACTTATAAAATGGTGTCAGTAATACCTCCTAGTTCCATTGCTGGGCTCTTCACAGATGTGAAAGCATGTTGAAAACCAAATCATTTTATTTTTAATTATGAAGCCCTTCCACCTCAGTTATAATTCTTTCATCAGCTTTGATATTTTTTCAAGATGTTAGGAGAAAGAGAATATTTTACCATTTGCTCATGAGTGCTTTTAACAGATTAGTTGCAGTCATTTGAATGAATAAGTCTGGAAAGAGACAGGGAAGACTGTCTTTAATCCTGTGACAGAGATCAACTGATGTCATATTAAATTGTAGGTAAACACCTGAGCTGTTGAACCCCTGCGTGTATGCTCTAGTCTATAGTGGGAGCTGCTAGATAAGCTGGGGTGTGGAGGAGAAGCCCTCTACGTGCACTTCAGTGTTCTGGGCAGACAATCTGATAAAGTCAAGAGAGCTATATTCTTAAAAACTTGAAAAATAAATTTGGCTTCAATACATTTTTAAAGTAAAGCAAATATTGTGGAAAGTTCTAGACCATTTACATAAGAGGAAATTTTTTAAAGATTGGCCAGTCACCACGAGTAACCCTGCCAACTTGATGCATGATCAGAGAAAGTAGAAAACAGGTGCAGTTTTCTACCTGTCCAGTTGGAGAACATTTTTCAAAACATTGAAATTTAGTATCAGCAAAGGTAAGGTGAAACAGATGCCAGTAGGGAATAATTCCAATTATAGGATGCTTTTTTCTGATGGAAATAATATAGGCATAGGATGCACAAGTATTAATCTGTGAGGATATAATTATGGTGTGGTGTTAATATAACTGCAAAATATTAGAAACAACTTAAACATTCCATAAGGGAATGGCTAATAAATTATTCAACTATATGATGGAATATAATCATCCATTTTAAATCATGTTTTTGAGGAATATTTTAATGGTAAGAAAAATGTTAGGGAAAGAGAGGCTGCAAACTTGTTTATTTACACACCATTTATAGATAGAAATAGATCTCTCAGGCATATAGTCTGGGCAGAGGGAGTATTTTTCCTAATACTTTGTTCCAAAATTTCTACAATGTAAATATAATGCATATTTAATCAGAAAAACATTACTTGAAAAAAATTCTGGGGAGGGGAATGCTTTCATTAAATTCAGATCTTTTTAAATGTCAAATAAAATTCTAAGGTAGGGTTTCAAATAAGAGTTACAGTACCGTTTCAGTAAGTGAATGATTAAGTTAGGCAGATTGCCAAGAGGTTATTGATTGAAGAGAAAAAATGACAGGCTGCTGTGGGTGGTGTTCACAGTTTCTGGTATTTTATAAAGGAACCAGTAATTTTCTGAATAGTGGGTAATGAGTTGGAGATTTCTAACAGTGTTAAATTTAATTTGTACCACCTGTTTTTGACATAGTGCCTATAGTTTACAAGTAAGAAATGCTTCAAATTTCAGCTAGAAGAATATAATCAGATTTAATAATTGCTGGGAACAAGTACCAGATTGATTTACATTGGAGAGTACATTTTCTTGATCAGCATTCTGAATTATATGGGACTGTTCAGAGGGATTGTTTGACTTACACTTACATATTTATAGTCAGACTGATGTCACATAAAACATCTGGATTGTGCTTATGAAACATTGAACCCCTGCATTTTATTTTACAGTGTAGCTCTTGCAATATATTATCACATCAAAAACAGGTATGTGGACAATTAATCTTGTGCTAAAAATGTCACACTTTAGCTCCAATTTTGTGTTTCTTATTTTGTTCTCATTGCTTCAGCCTTTGCATTTTATATTTACTCATATTTTCATAGACTTTTTGAAGTTAATTTACCAAAGCTTCCCAGGTAAGTGCTGAACTGCTTTTGAATCAGAGGAGACAAAATGGGTATTTATGTTTGAAGCCAGCAAAACAGAACAAAGGTTCTTGATAATGTTCAGCCTTCTCTTCACTCTTTATTTTATGTATAATTTGCTTAAATATTCTTTTACAAATTATTATTATAAAAATTTACAGTGTACAACTTTAATGTAAAAAATGTTTAATATGGTTTTAGTTTGGGACAGGAATTTTTGGTGTAAATTTTGACAAACTAATGTAGTAGAAATCCTCTCAGACTGGAGATAGTTCAGTTAATTTAAAAAGTCACTTAAAATGGGAAAAAGTCATTTAAAAAATTTACCCTAAGCAGTTTATTTCAACATAAAACATGTAAAAGTACATTCACTTGTGAATTTTTTAATGCAGTGTCAAGACTTTTCATCAAGCATGGGTTGATGATTAGGGTACTAGAGCATCTTTCTTTTTTAAGCCATACCTGCAATTCATCTTTCCATACTGTTTTTTATCAATAATGAGAAAACTTAAGCCATTTGCAAAACAGTTTTAGAATACAATCTTCAAGGTTTTGACCACACCTAATTTATAGCAAGTTTGTTTTTAGTGATTCTCTTCTGTTGAGTTTTTCCAAAGCATTATTCTTCATTTTCATGAGAACAAAGGGCATTCTCACTGCAGTCACATTTCATTGAATAATGGGAAATTTACACATGTTTTGTGAGTCTAATAACAAGTCCATCCAGAAACAAGCACAGCCACCTATGTGGCATGGCTCTCAGGGGGCAGCCACAGCACCCACAGTCTGTTGGCTGGGGACAGTTGTGTTGAGTCAGTGGAATGGCCTAGACGACAGAGCTGCCAGTGGATGGTGTTAGGGGAACAGACGCCTAGAAGCTGAAGCCTAGACGTATGCTCTGTAGTGACCCTGTTCTGGGTTGTGATTGTGATGTGTGGTTCTTCTTGTGCTGGAGAATTTTGGATTGAAGAACTTACTGTCAGATGCTGAGCTTTGGGCCTTGACCAGAACATTCCATGTGTGCAGGTTTAGTTTGCTGCCTGTCTCTCTGAGGGTAGTTCAGATTTAACAATCTGCATCTTAAATGACAGTGTAATCAGTGTAATACCATCCCTGAGACTCATGTGTGTCCTCAGACCAGTTTTGCTTTTAATCTCTAAGTGATTTCTCGGTTCTTCATGGATCCCAAAAGTTAATAGCCATAACTGATGATGATAAGAGTCACCCTTATTAAGTGCTTATGCTGGCTGCCCTGGTCAGCTCTTTTTTTTTTTTTGGTATCATTAATCTACAATTACATGACAGACATTATGTTTATTAGGCACCCCATTCACCAAGACCCCCCCAACTACCCCTTCACAGTCACTGTCTATCGGCATAGTAAGATGCTGTAAAATCGGTACTTGTGTTCTCTGTGTTGCACAGCCCTCCCCATGCTCCCCCACACTATACATGCTGATCATAATGCCCCCTTTCTTTTTCCCCACCCTTATTCCTCCCTTCCCACCCACCCTCCCCAGTCTCTTTCCCTTTGGTAACTGTTAGTCCATTCTTGGGTTCTGTGATTCTGCTGCTGTTTTTGTTCCTTCAGTTTTCCTTTTTCTTATACTCCACATATGAGTGAAATCATTTGGTACTTGTCTTTCTCCACCTGGCTTATTTCACTGAGCATAATACCCTCTAGCTCCATCCATGTTGTTGCAAATGGTAGGATCTGTTTTTTTCTTATGGCTGAGAAATATTATATTGTGTATATGTACCA